GGAAAAAAACATTACACGCTGGGTAGTGCAAAAATTCAACTCGAACTATATTAACACGAAATATTTTTATTTATTTCAGATGTTGTCCAAAGGAAATTCCAGTTTAAATCTTGAACCAAAGCGACGACCACACCAAATGGCATAAGACGTTGAACAGCCACACGAACACTCGTGCAGTATACGAATTGTAAACATCTTTAAAATAAAGTATATACTCTCGGTCTTATACTTTACAATTGGTATTTTGTCGTTATGTCAGATATAATTATTATTCACATTATTTTAAACTGATCACTCCCTCCCAAAGTTTTCTCCAACGTAATGGATTTGTTTACCAATAGGAATTGAATGAATAATGTAAGCCAACATAAAAAATACAAGACTGTTTCCAAACAGAATTGTAGAAATTATTCTGGATTATAAATATTTCGTTTCAAATCTGCAATAGGAAGGTCTACTTTCTATGAATCATTGCTGAAAGTCACTTTTTTAAAAGTTTTTGGGAGATCATTTTGAAATTCGGAAAAAGGAAAAACTGCACAGTGTGTTTTTTTAACTGGTCTCTTTAACTCGTTGACGCCGCTAATTTAGATTTCAATCGTTTTCTTGTGATATTAATTATTATTGGTGAAATTAGTAAAAATACGTACTCAGACTCCAATTAAAGTCATGCCCGACCCACATGTGCACTCATCATTCTATCTGGAAACGGGAGCCACGGTCTATCTAAATAATTGTCTTTTGCGGTTGAATATTCACAGTTGACATAAGAGGGCGGGCGCTCTAGCGGACGTCATATTTTGGCACATCTGGCACACTGACGCATCCACAGAGCTGCATCTGCGTGAGCTCTATAGAATGAAATTCAAAGATGGAAAACGGGGCGAAATGTTATGTCGATAGCTGTAATGCAAAACGCACTCGCACGTCTCGAGTTTCTTATTGTCCCTACAATAGATAGGGGCCTGTCTTCGATAGTAATAATGCGAAAAGCTGGTAGCACTTTTGGCATATTTCTCATTTTTTTTTCAAACTGTATATTACACAATTTTTTATTTACCCCAGTAAGTAAAAAAAAGAAAATTCCAAGCTTTATTCATGAATGTGCAACTGGGGTGCTCTTATTTCAAGCTGACACAAAATGTGAATGAAATCATGTATTTCCAAAAAGAAATATATTGCAATATTGTAACAAATGATAGCTTGTGATTCAGACTGGGGTTGTGGCTGTTCTCAATGCATATGGTGCAGCGAACTACATTTGTAGCAGTGAACTTGCAATCGGTGAGGGAGAGTGTATGTAAATAAATACATACACTTCGGATATACACTGCCCTCAACGACCAAGCAAGGATGGCCAAGTTAACTAACTAGCATATGCGATAGCATATCTAACTGTCGAGGCGACGGAGTATTCTCTGGTTCAGAGTCTCATTTTCACTTACATGTAAGTAACTTACCAAGAAAACGTCAGATAAGTGAAAGAAAGCTGAAAAACAGTAGGAAGGGTCACAGGCTAAGACCGCACGCACTTGATAGCCTGGTGTGTAGGCGTGAGTAGGCCCTCTACGGCCGAATGGTAACAGACCTCACTGAGTACCGCGGAGGGCGCAACTCACGCGACTTCGTCAGACTGGGAGGTGATTGGAGTAATCACTCCGTTCATACACAGAAGTCAAATAGCGTGTGGAACAATTTTGAAAATAACGAGTCACGTTTCTACTATATTATGAATGTATACTTGGTCGTAATTAAAACAAACAGACTTGAAACACGTGTAAACCATTATAATAACTATTTATATTTACTTACTTACAAATGCGATCAATATACACAGAAAGTGAGTGTCAAATACAGTAACTAGCGATAACAACTGTTAGAGCATAGCGCCCTCTGTAGTTTAGATTAGTTTAAGAGAGAAAATACATTGATTGCTCTGCAACAACGTACACTATAGCGTTTATGTTGTTGGCGCGCACCAAGTAGAAAAACCACAGCATGATTCCACCTCACGTTGATATGTGTACACACACCTACTGTAATGCTCGTCACGAAGTAATGTCGCGCCAACAATATAAATGCTATGGTGTAAATACTAGCAGGTGCATACACTACGTATTGCTTCTACTCAACAATGATGTTCCAGGTCATGACCTCTCGTGTCTCGTGCAGTTCTTTTTATGAAGCACTGAGATTGTAAATTCGATGTATACTTCATAAGAGATAACTCTCAAACGGGAATGAACAAACTGAAGGTTTTTGAAGTGTTAAAACAGAGAGGGACTGTGGTTAAAATTCGCTCGCTTACTTTTTTATATACCCTTTGGTGTGGACAAATCCTCAACACAGATAAAACAAGTGCAAGTTTAGAGAAACTTAGAGTAGAGTATGCATGATGGCCTTTACGCCTCACAGTTTAAAGCGGGAAGGTCGTCACCTGCACACGCGCGAGAATTGAGTCCCAAGCGATGATAACAACCCCAGACTACTAATACAAGTAGTCCGAGTAACACAACACACGCTAAAAAACGCAAAGACTCATGGATAGACGCTTGTTTGTAAACAATGACACGCTAAGGCCACCAGACGCATGCGTAGGTGACGACTCCCTCGCTTTAAAGTAAATTGCGTAAGCTAAATTTGTACATATTTCTTTCACAAGATTGAAAAAAAATCGGCTTGTATAGGTTATGTCCAGCTGCCGATCATAACCCAGAGTTGAGTGAAGACAATAGTCGCTACGTTACACCATCTACGACATAGGTACTATTATAATCATCTATTGTTCTTGATTACACAGATAACAGTGCCCTACTTTTCATATAAATTTAAAAATGTAAATGATCTGAGAATTGTAAAATGATTCATAATCAATCATCCCGTGGATATGTTGAAGGTCAAAGTGAACCCAATATTTGAAAACACTACATTGCGAACATTTTCTACACGACAACATCCGGGTTGTCATGCGAGTGAGTACCCACAATACACTGCGTCAGTTTAGCGAAATAACTTTCCCACAATACAAACAAAAAAATGTGTTTACAAGACCAGATGTGCTATGTAATTTTTCTAGCAAACTAACGTTCTGGTGACAGATCTTTTCCTAACAGTTTCGCCCAAAATGGCTACTGTTTGACCGCCATATTCTGAGTGTTCGCGATGCATCATGGGTACGGTACATACAGTCTTCCGGACAGTACATGTTTCTATACAGCCTATATATTCCAGCATCACTTAGAAATAAAGCGAGAACACATATCTATACACATACATATCATTATTACCACACACAAATAAAAATAGAGATTTGTTTTTTAAACTAATCGAAGTTTCGAATAATACATCGTTCATATAAATTGCGCCCTCTAACACCGATTCGCTTATGTGGCGTCAATTGGTGACTCTGAAAAGAACGCCGTTCACAATTTCGAAATTTTTTTGATATTTGATCGTCCACCAAGTAAAATCACGATTTTGACAGAGTTGCTATACAGAACAGCCAAACAGTGTTGCACCCACCTTTACGTCACATAAATACGTTGTCCCGCTAGAGGGAGCCACTTACGTTTGTGTGTTGTTTCTGTATTACTGATCGAAGTCGTATATACAGTGGTATATGTTGATAGAAGAAGATACAGCGGAAATGTTAAAATGTGAACGTAATTTTCTACATCATAAACGGTTTAGTTGGTCCACAACGAATATTAAAAATACAAAATGTTTGGGTCCTTAAACTACTATCAAAATATATCTAAGTATTCCCTGGAGAACGCTATCATACAAAGCACATATGGTCAAAGATGACGCAATAAAAACGTGACACATAATAATTTAAGCTAGTGCAACCACTACAATAACACGAATGAAATCTGACAAGTTATGTGATATCAAAATCGAGAGAACGAAAATCACTACGTTAATTCACGGTGGTTAATTCAAGTACATATTTACTTATTTATGAGTACTATTTATGAGTACTACCTGATTATGAACTTGAAGTTTATGTGACTAAACGAGTCCACTACTGAACCACTTACTATTTAATAGATTTTAAATATATTATGTATCTCTTTAAAAAAAAAAAAAAACGATTACATAATCATCGTGTAACGACGAGATGGGCACACAATACATAGTCACTGACTGGCGCCACCAACGACTTAAATTATTAAACTTATTGTTGTTGTTTTCATAATGATTGACGATTATAATGAGTCAGCTGACTTTTGTGCTGAACGTATTTGGGCAAAAAGTTGACGCTGCATTTTCAGACGCGTTGTTCAGAATTTCAGCCTCATTCTAATTCATGCTCACCGCGACAGTACCGAGTGCGTTTACATCGATTCGGGGATCCGCTAGAACGCCCCCAACGATAATTCTGGCAGCACCTCGTCTATAAACTCCGAATCTGACATGCAATGCGCATGCGTCGCAAGTTACCAATCAGGCGTCACATGTCAGTAGAGAAAAAAAAAACAGTGCCAAACTTTCGATTGTGGAAGAAAATATGGCATCACGGCAGACGATTTTATGCATATTATTGACTTCTCACCTAACGCGCGCGTGGAACAATTCAGTGCGTCGTGTGACTTGCTCAATTGGTCACAAAAATACGGAGCATTGAGTTTGTTACAGCGGGCGTGTCACGTGGTCTGCACCGAGACAGCGCAGACGACAAGTCACCGGGTGTGTAGACAAGCAATAATAGAGATTCGATATACACCTGATATTCATCATTTGCGTCATATTAAAAACTAAG